TGGCACTCTCTACCCGAAGGCACGGGGACTTTCCCCGCAGCATAGCTAGGAGCAAGCTCCCTGTGTGTCGCTGCGCGGCAACGCTTCTCCTGCTCCCTAAACTGCAAAGTTCCCACAACAAGGAGATAGGCATGGAATGAATCAAGTGGCTCCAATGTCGACCTCACTCCTCTGTTGTTCCTCCATCTTTCGGAATCCTGGATAGTTTGCTGCTGAAGCACGTCTCCTAGCAAAGAATGCTCTGGCAGCTGCTTGTCCATGGCGGTAAAGGAACATTCACAATAAGCTTTAGGTGCCCAAGTTGAGGTTTCCCTAACATCCTGGACTTTATATATATATATATATATACTATTTCAACAACTCAATTGCAAAGTAGAAACACTGATGGCATGACTTTGGGGTGAAACGCTTTGGGTTTCAGGTGAACGTGGCGTTAACGGCCGGCGCGTGGCTCACTTCGACCCGGTGGAAGCGAGAAACTCGAAACCTTCACCTCAGGAGGTTCTGTGGTTTTCGTGGTCAGGTTAGGTATAGCTATGGTGGTAGTTGTGGTGGTACCCCCAAAGGGACATGTCTTGCTTTTCTTCGTATCATGCACTCTTTCCTTTGACGGACTGAGAACTGGCTAGAACTTGGGATGTAAACAACTGTTGATGCTAGTACAACAAAGAGTATTTATATTTATATATCTTATACTGGGGTCTGGTGACTTAGGAAATATGGGTCTAGCCACTCCGTTAACTCCTTAGTCCCTAGCCCTCAGTATAATTATTGTTCTTATTGTAATACAAAAACCAAGTCAATTACAAATGCGTGCCTGACCTGAGAAGGACAACGGGTGAAGATGTACTGGCTTCATGAGGGCCGCTGGTGAACATCACCACTGAAACACGGTGGTATGGACGAATGGAACCAAAACCCACTTGCGATGGAGTCTTCAGCTTAACGGTTCACGTCCTTATTATATACCAAAACCTCAATACGATACTACTTCGTCGATTTGGAGATATCTGATCAACCCATGTTTCTCCCAACACCCATGTCAAAACTGTTTCTCCCAGCAAAGAAACCAAACACGAGTAGGACAACCCGCCGAGTAGTAGTAGGCCCGGCGCGACCGCGTCGCTCGCGACTTGCGCGCCTTCGGCTGCTAAGAGCTGGCCGATGCTCTCCACAATGGCCTCACAGGAGCGGGTGCGCCAGTGGGGGAAGGTGCGCCCACGGCGCCGGTTTCACTGTAGACGCTTAATAAAACTAACCCAGCCCGACAGATGAAAGGCTTTACAATCCCATGTCTGGGGGAGGGTTCATCAAGATTGAAACAAACATTTGAGACATATTGAGGTGCATCAAGGTGTAGCACTTGTTAGACCCGGAGTTCCGGTTCGGGTGCCGAACTTGGAAGGGCCCTTCACAACCCAAAAGCATCGTTGCAGAGTGGCCTTCGCTGTGCCGTGTTCATGGCCCATGGCGTTCGTCGTTCGTTTTGTTCGGGCGAAAAAGACATAAGACATAAAATGGATTAAACAGGCGCCATCTGCCGACCTAGACCCCAGAACCTTGAACCTTCGGATGGACGCGACGAACCTGCACGAGGCATCTAGACACCCTTCTTACGGCTGAGCTGGACCCAAGTGCATCAGTTGGACGAGCTTGGCCTCCGTCACAAGGGGGGACTCAGGGCGGGGGTTCCAAATGAGGACGTTCGAAGCCCTTTTGGAGTGCGATCCCTCCCAGTCCGTTCGTTCCCTCCCAGTGTTTCGGGCGGAAAGCGCCTGTCGAATGGGGTAGCAATCGACGTCCAAGAGTGGAAGGAGCACTGAGATGTTGGCCAAAACAACCTCGGTTTTGGGCAAAAGGACCCGGTGTTCGGAGAAGACGACCCTGTTCAGCACCTTTGAAGGATCGGGGCAAGACTTGCCGGCACACCTCCTGACCAAAAAGAAAGCAAACTGAAGGAACAGCCCCCTCAACGCTTGAGGCTGCCCTTCAGTTCCATTGTGGAAGAGCCTCTCAGCTGCATGGCAAATGTTTTCTCTCAATTGTTATGCATCATACAAGCAGATTAATTGAAGCCAATTTCAACGCACCCTGGTCATCGATTGCTGAATCGACTGCTCGGCATTCGACGGCCATCGACGGCAGTGAAGGGAACCTCTACATCGATCAAGCCAGCTCCGATGGCCCGATGGGCGCAGCTTCTGAATTGGACATGGGAGCAACTCTCCAATCTCTCCTGCTTTTGTTGTAGATCAATCCCTGCGTCCAGCTTAGACAAAGGCCAAAAACACTTCGGGACCCCCACACACCGGTTTTACCCCGCTTCCGAACCGAAACGAACCGAACACGCCGAAACGACGCAAGGAAAACGCCGCTGTTCGGGGCACGGGCCCCGTCTCGTCGAGCGGCATGAGGCAACCGTTCGGAGAGGGCCACCAGAAAGGCCGCCAAGGACCTCCGTGGGTCTCGAGAGTCTCACGGAGAGGCAAATCGATAGTCTGAAATGACAGCATGATTCTACGCTTCAAAGGCACACAAAGGTGTTGGATCAAACTGTTCTGTTGCTGAAACCAAGAGTCAGCAGCTTTTGGCTCGATCGAAAACTCCGAATGTTCCTCTTCGACCCAATCAACCCAAGGGGTGAAACCGATCCCAGATCCCGGTCCCATGGAGATCCCGGACCAGGCTGACCCGGCGGACCCTCCGTGCGGCATGGCTCGCGCACCAGTCCACGCCTCTGAAAAGCTCCCTGCGAGGTGAGCTCTTGGGCGGTACAATGCCTCAGGTGCGAGGCGATGCTACACGGACCGCCGCCCAAAGCGGGCCGCCCGCTTTGGAATGAAGAACTTCTGCAAACCAAATCACAGGAATGAAAGGCACCGCTTCCTTTAAATTTGACCGAATGATATTTTACTGCTCTGAGTCATGCTTCCACAATGTCTGAAACAACACAAAACACCCCCAGGCGGCCAGGAAGCTGTGTGAGTTCCACCAAGAAAAGCCGAGGAAGCGGTGTGGTGTGCGCTTGCAGCAGGCATTCCGCCGCAAAGGCAGCCGTTCCTGCCGAGTTGGCTTTGCATTGTTTCCCATGCCGTGTACAAAGATCCCTCTTGGCACCATCTTTTGTAGACGCTTGATTCATAAAACCTTTTCAATGTGGGGTTTTATCAATCAAGAATCAAGAGCCTACATGTTCAGAGGCGTCCAAAGGGCAGACCCGTCTCCTCGGCGCCGTCTCCGAGCCGAACGGGTTCGGAACCTTTGGCCCCAAAAAGCCGGCCATCGGAAAGAGAGAGAGAGAGAGAGACTTACTAGTAGCTTCTTGTACCTAGTAGTAATGGCCTCCAACCTAATAGCGATGGCCCTCCCCCGTGCGTAGCTTCTTAGTTACTTTAGAGAGAGATAGAGGGGTAAGGAAGCGCCCATGAAGGGTCGGCAATCGTTCCTCGATGGTCATGGCACTTGCGACGATGATCATCCCAACACAAAAACCCGTCGGTACCATGGTGAAAAGCTCTGGTGATCTGGTGATCTGGTCCTTCAGCACCTCTTAATCCGTGTAAGAGCTTCGACACAGTTGCCACTAAGAGGTTGGAGTGCTGCTGACCTTCCTGGCAGGAATTGTTCAGCTGATCGAAGATGTTTCAAGAGGAGGGTATGGGTCCGGGGCGTGGTAGGGTAGGTGAAACACCTGCACAGACTGACTTCCAAAAAACTTCCAAGAACCACCAAAACTGCAAATTCTTTGAAGAACCTTCATCTTTCATCTCCTCGATAAGAAACCAAGAAGCACTGAACTTCAGCTTTAAAGACTCGGACGCCTGTGTTAGACGATGTGCGCATCCATCACCAACACACCAATGGTCAGGAAGGAAAAGGAAAACTCTCTGTCTGAAGGAGAAACAGCCACCGCTTCCCAAATTCTGACAACCACTCACAGTTCCATTTCAGAAGGCTTCCCATTTGCCGCTAATTGGTCAACAAAGGTATGATCCTCCAGACAAAGAAGTAGTTGATCTGGTCTGCGGGCGCAGGACTGCTCCAACTCTCCAACGACCCCGGGAGGCTCAGACCGGCTCAACACCATCTGAGGGCCTGCAAGAGGGGTACGGCGATGCACTGCAAGGCCGCCTGCTTGGTCTCCTTGCCCTTTAAGGCCTCAACGCTGCGGTCTCCAGCGCCAACCAACCCCCCCAGGCGTTCTACAAGGGCGCTCTCGCGGGAGATCCCGTGTGGGGTGGATTCGTGGCAACGATGCCGACCACACCGTGCGGCGTGGTGAAAAGGGCTCGGGGACTTCCGGGACCCCAAATGAGGCGTCGCGGGAGGTGAGCAAGACCAACCAGGGCCCCGGGGCCCCGGTGGAGAACTCCCCACAAGTTCACTGAGAGTCATCTCATGCAACTGCTGGTCCTTAGATTTGGCTTCTCTATTGAAAGGAATGAACAAATCACACAAAATGCTGAACTGCTCGCAAAGTGGTAGGTAATGCCAGCTCAGCCCTGTGCATTCCATCAAATATACACCGGGTTCCTTTTTCTCGGCCCCCGTCCACATCGAATCAAGAACCCCCCTGGCCATTTCTCGGCGCCCGGGACAATCCCCCGCCTCTGCCGAGTCTAAAGCGCAGAAGCCTCCATCTGAACAGGCGCCAGCCACTTGTTGCCACGCAGCAGGGTCGCTGAGCCAGAGCCAAGGCATCGCTCCTTCCAAGTCATTGGGTCGATGGGATGGGCATTTCGCCAGCCAAAGCCAGTGGCAAAGAGTGACGACAAGGCTCCAGCGTGGGTCTGGATTTCTGAGCCAAAGCCCTGGCTGTGTGTGCACACGCCAGAGACATACCCATCGAGCCTGGTCCCCCGGTCCTCGTGCCAACAAGCCATGAAGCTCATTGAGGGCTAGTGCTCGTTGTCGCTCCAGCGCCTTTGACGCCTGGTGGCAATGCTTGCGCCGAGTCAAGAGCCACCTCTCATCTGCAGGAAATGCTATTGTGAATTATTAACATGTATGTATGTTAATTAATATATATATATACACTGTATGTCTCTACAAATATGTTTATGTCAATATTTAAAAAATAAAAATAAAACTATATATATATATACACATACACATACTCCAGAACAGGTTGGTTGAGATATGTCGGGTCGGGGATTCCTCCCCAGAACTCGTGTTTCCAGGTGAGTCTTTGCAATTCCAGGCGTTGCCCGAACCCACCACGCCTCCTTGGCCTCCTCGGCTGCCGCTTGCTGCTCTGCCTACAACACAGGAAGTGTCGGGGGGATACCAACATGTCTAGCTCCGACAACTGCATCTTGAGACATCTGCCCCTGCCTGCTGCAAAGCCGTGCCCTGCACACGTGGCCAAAGTGTCGAACAAAGCATGGCAGTCATCTGAGTTTTCGGCACTATATTCACTTTTCCACTGTTTCAACCCTCATTTTTGCAGAAACACCGGCAGCTCGTTCACCCTGCGGCGCTTGGGCCACCGGCCCCACCGCCCCGCCTTGCCGCGACGCGTGCGGCCCGGCCGCTTCTTGGCGGCGGAGAGGAGGCGCTCGCAGGTCCAACGCAGAAAGAAAGCCGAGACCTGTGAGGACGTCGGGGACGACCTACAGAGACCGGACGACCTGCAGAGACCGACCGACCTGCGAAGCGAAGGGGGCGGTCCAATGCGGGAATCCCATGCGGTCACAATCAGGTCCAAAGCGTGCAGATGCTGCATTGTATTGAACGCTTGTGTGAGATTCCAGTAATAGGCTTCCTGCTCTTATGACTTATGTCCTATCGTTCATGACCATGCGTAGGTGAGGATGGTATACTCGTAGTGATAGAGTGGGAGATCCACGTCTGCGCACGTCCAATCGAAAAATAACAAAAAGAAACAGGTCCTAGAGTCGTAGCTTTCAAACCACGTGCCCTCTCAATGCCGAACATCGGTGCCCTTTCGCGCTGTGTGCGCGCCCGTTTTCACAGAGTAGTTGGCGGCCATCAGGCCGTTCTGGACTCCGTCCCCTCAGCTACTTCTTGGCTATGGACGCGCCTTGCAGACGTTGCGCAGCGCCTTGGCCGAGGCGTCCGACTTCTCCTGCCATCCGACGTCTTCTGCCACGCCCCTTCTTCACCCGGTCTGCACATGGACCGAAAGAGGGTTCCCAACATCAACGGAAGCAATAGGGGGTCCTGGCCATGGACTCTTTCAGGTTTGGAGTTGGGGGGCTGAGGACATTCATGAGTTGACTAGTTGGGATTGAAGCCACCAAGTGTCCAAAGCCACCAACTGTGAAGGTCCCCGTGTCCGGTGCGCTTCGCACGCCGAGAAAAAGGAAGTGACCATGCTGGCTTCCTCAAAGCCGACCACTGTGACCGGTGCCACCATCGTTGAATTCCAAGATTAACTCACAATCAAGGAATCTCAGTTCATCAGCGACCCTCAGTGTTTCGACCCGTCCACTCGCTCCCACCTCTCCAAGACCCCACCTCTCCAAGCCTTCCACGGCACCTCTCCTTGCTCTTGGCCCCGCGGAGCCGCCCCGCTTCCGCCACGAGCCGCTTGGCGGCATCGGCCAAGAGGTCCACCACCTCCGCAACGGCCCCCGCCCGGTGCGGGCAGCGCTTTCCGCCCCGCTACGCCCGTGCCGGAAGTGACCGGGGTGTTTTCCATGTGGACAATCATCACTCCATGTCATGGAGTCTCATTTCGTTTTGGTCACATGATTGCCCTTTTCATGTCACATGGAGTCTGACGCCCTTTTCGTCTTGTTCATTTCACCTCAAGTGCGGTGATGAAAGGAGTCTCGAACTCGGTCGAGAAGGTGTGTTATCTAGGGCCTGCGGTGGGTTTCGCGTTCGGCCGTTCTCTTTCTGTCTTTCTTGCGGTCACCAGAGATTGGCCCAAATCGTCGGGAGGTATGTGCATATTTATATATGTACCATCTGGGATTCCTGGCCAACCATTGTTCTGTCAGAGTCTGAATCCCAAAGAACCGAGCTGTTTTACTCATAATTTTACACTACAAAACCAGGTCAACTATTTTTAATAGTTTGGAAGTCTAAAGTGTAAATATATATATAACATATCTATATACTTATGTCACTTATTTCTAGGTCCGCTTAACTTTCAGTGTCAGTGTCATGGAAACATGTTAGTGATTTCTGTGAGTTCCGTTTCCAAAAATATGTAGGTGCTACCCGTCCTAGGTCCTAGGTCAAATAAAATTCATCTTTCGCAACTTTCGTCTACCAATGAATTCTATCAGTTGAACATGTTTCTTCGATGAGAAAAAACAAACAAGCATGGCAGTCTCTTCAACCCGTCAAAAAGTCCAAAAGAGCCAGTGGTTTTCATGGCTCGAAGCTGCCCCTCGTCACGGCACCCCTCCAAGCCACTCGCGGCTGGAGGCTTTCATCAAGCCTCCAAACAAGGCCGAACACGAATGCCAAATCATCGGTGAAAAGCTTTGAAGTGTTCCGGTTGGAATCTGGTGTCCATTCTTGGACATGAACTGGGAATCCAAAACATGTGTGTTGGTCAAATGAGCTCACAAACATTCAGGGATCAACTTTCATTCAGAAACTGGTGCTTGAAACTTGAAACCCACCGATTTGTGGTCTTGCAGGATAAAACACCAAACATGCAGTGCTATTGTGCGTAGGAAACACTGATTAGCCGAAAAATAGGGACATCACGACACCCTGCCATAGACCAAAGCCAAACTACCCAAACAGCTGCTTCGGCCCTGACCTGGGCCATGCTTGCAACACTGCAAACAGCAGGGAGAAGGTGTCCTCTTTCGCCAGCTCCTCACCAGGCCCGGACGGTGTGCTTCCAAAGAGACACGATCTGAAAACAAGGCTTGGGATAAAACCGGATAAAAAGGGGTTTCGGTGCTGTTGACCTGTGCTGCGTGATGCGTCAAGTTGACGACCCCCCAAAGCACTTCCAAGGCTGCTTTCCACTTCCAAAGCCATGCTCACAGCACAGCTGTCCTTCCCCTGGCTTGTTAGCAAGCGCCCGACCACATCGTCCAACGCTTTGTTGATCTCCTGTATCAGGACATACACCCTGCGTTGCAAGTCAAGCAACATTGCCATCTTGAGTTTTTACAAACTGATTCTGGAACCTATTTGTGGATGCATTCAGGACATACACAGGCATTGAAACTGGCAGCGACTCCTTTTCCGACCACGACTCAACATCTGGTAGGTCTGATGCCCACAGTCGACCATCTGCAGGCTGGGCTAGGAGCTCCTATCTCGAAACCGCGGCACATGACACGCTTCGACAGCGGTTCGACAGCGGTTCGACAGCGGTCTTCCCCATTGACGGCTCGGAATCGGCCATCACCACAAGTTGGTTGTTTTTTTTCCGGATCACCATTTCACGGTCCAAAGCCAACCATCCAACCAACAGATGTTGGGGTTCTTGTTGATCGATCCAAGTTCGCGATCGATCTTTTCTCGTTCCGGGTGGCCGGGCTGCCGTGGTTTTGGGGCTGCCATACGTGTCCCCCATGGTTTTGGGGCAGAGGATGCGCCAATCAAGATCCATTGTAGTTCTTCCAGTTTTGCATTGTTTGTTTCAGTCTACTTTCCCCCAACAGTTGGGTTGCTGTGGGTCTGTGAAAAGCGGGGTATTTGTGCACCGGCTGTCCACACCATCCCCGTGTGTTCTTTCGACCTACTGCCCAGCTGGTGGGTTGCGAAACACCCACTGCCGTGGTTTGGGTTGTAAAGACTCTGCATAGAGGGAAGGAGAGTAAATTTGTTCTATGTACTCAAATTGTACCAATTTGGACTATGTCATCAAGTTGTACCGAAACATGAGGGGAATCTGCCTGGGTTCCCAACAATCAGAGTTCTTTACATGTTTTTACCCCCCATCTTGCCTGAGTCGGTCACCGAGTGGTTCTTTCCCACTTCAACTTGTAGTTTGTCCGTTTGATCTGGTAAGTTATCCAACTGGCCGTCGGTGTGTTAAAAAACAAGCTCACCAAATGGAATCCGCTGAGTTCGGACCACCGTCCATCGATTCACGTTCGTCCCGTCCCGTCCTGTCCCGAGGTCTGGTCCAAAAAACGTGATCCCGCACCGTTCACCCCGCCTCTGGTTTGAAAGGCAAGGTGAACTCTTTCATTGTTGTCTTCTTGGCACGGAGAAGACAGAAGCTTGAGCTAACGGCCGAGAACAACCAATTGAACGGCCCTGGCGACATGTCACCGGAACGCGCCAAAAGGATTGCAAAACCGAAAAGGGCCTAGACCCCAAAAATGGGAACTACATAGTGGTTTTTGCCAATGCAAAACATTCCGTTCAACAGCCAAAAAGTCAACATTGACAGCAATTGCTGCCTTTTGTTCATTCTTTCAACTAGATCCCAAACATTCTTGTTGGTTCATGTATTCTCACTTCCACCATCGGCAACCTTTTTGCCAGCATAGACCCCAGGTTTGCAAAAAACATTTGTGGGCAGCGTCACGCCCACACCCACGCTCCAAATCGCGTGCTGCTACAAACATCTGGCGGCGGCGGCAACAACAGCAGCAGCAGCAGCAGCGCACAGTTTTCAACACACACACCGCCATGGACATCTTGCAGCAACAAAAAAAAGAGGGTGAGGAAACGATGCCATCAGCTGAAACGAAGTGAAAATAGAAAACACAAACGAAAAACATCGAAATCTCCCATTCAACTTTTTCCGAACAGACCACAGACCAGTGTCGCCCCAGCTGTGTAAAAATCGTGCTTTTCCCTCTCGGAGCACGCGGGTCAGCCCAGCGCCACTAAAAAGAAAAATCATCCAGTGTCGGCCCCAAACAGTCTGTTTCTTTGTGAAGTGCCACAAACACGAACTGCCAAACATTCAACGGCTCAAACCGTTCCAACTCACCGTGACCAACTTGACCTTTCGGGTTTGTTTCAGCACTTGGCTCAATTGGCTCAAGGTCAGAACCCGGCAATTCAGACGAACAGCACTGTGACATGTGGTTCTAGCGCTTTGTTTGGTTTGAAAATTTCAAAAGTTTTAACCATGAAGTGGCAAGGTTTGTCAAACAAGCAGGGAGACAAGGAGGAAGATGCAACAAGAAGGAAGACAAGCAGGGACACAAATGGAAGACAAGTTTAAAATCATTTGGCCAAGAGTGTCCGCGCATGGAAGGCAAGCTGGACAAGTGTAAAAACAGACAAGTGGAAGACAAGTGCAACAAGAAGGGAAAACAAGCACGGAGACAAGTGCAAACAAGTGCAAAAAAAAATGTGGGCAGAGGGAAGAAACAGCACGGCCCAGAGCACCCAGTCTGGAACAAAAGGGAAAAACACACAGGCCAGAGCACCTAGGGTGCATTGGAGACAAAGAAATCAATGGAAGACAAAAGATGCGGCCAGAGCACTCAAGAGCACTCAGAGTGAGTGAGTGGAACAAAAGAACAAGTGAAAGGATCTGGCCATTCACTTGTCTCCACTCGCACCTCCAGCGCCACCAACAGGTCTGCTCAGCATGGTGACAGCCAGTTTGTATGCCGCATGAGTGGCCCTTAGCACGCCTTAGTGTCCAATTGCGTCACATTGGGGTACTGCTCAGAGTTACCCTCTACCGCCGAGTTGCCGAGCTCAGTTTTTCGAGGGATCGACTTTTGCCAGCTGCCGCCGGAAGTCATGAAAGACATTTGTCATGATTTCGACAATATCTTTGGCGAAATGGCTGAACAACTGGCGTCGCTCTTTGCATTCCTCACCAGCATCGAATCGGACCAAGCACTCTGACCCTATGGGGTTGTTGCTGATGCTGACCCAGGCTATTGGCTGTACGGCCTCCTGTCCTTTTGTGCCAAAGCATGTGAGTCCAAAACAGGAGCCCGGCACTGCGAGCGAGGGATGAACAACGAGGTATGCCAGCGCTTGAAGCTACTGGCAAGACCTTGGCGCTTATGCAGACAGTGGTCATGTCTTTTGGCCGCAATCAAAGCTTGGGTAAACCGGACCTTCCCATTCATCACCTGCATGTTTACTTCCGGTGCAGCTGGCACATAAAACTTGTTGAACGCATAGACAGGCTGCGATTCACAGATGTCACGCCAGAGGACGGGAAGTCCATATATCGTGGTGGGTACATTTGAAGGTGCCCCTCCAGCACCTTCTCTGCCCTTCCAGACAGGCCTAGGCTAGCAGGCGCATGTGAATGTGGAATCCTTGACGGCAACTGGAACAAATGGTCTGCCGGCAAGGTCATCATCGCCACAGCCTCTGTGATTTTTCTGTTTTGGGTTGGGGGGTTTTTGCTTGTTTGTGGGTTGCTTGTGTTCTTTTCCCCCTCATCACGTCGCGTTTCCTTCCCTTTCAATGATGACCTGGGCACTCCGCCCACACGGCGTCCGCACTCGTGGAAAAAATCGCCACAGCCTCTGTGACCCATCAAGTGCCCACTATTGCAACTTCAACTGGTTTGAGCCAATGGCAGCCACTTCTGCGTTTCCACACCTGTCTGCTAAACAGCACTGGCTGTTGTGGGCTTGTCAGCAGGGCAAAGGCCAGAGGAAGTGCTCGCTGCAGCCATTGTTTGCTCAACTGGTGAATTTGCTTGCTCAGTTTCTGTCAGTGGTCGCCGACCTCTTCCTCCTGCCTTCCTGATAGAGTCTCCGAGGGATGCGGCGGACAATATGGAGGAGAAATCGGTGGCGCAGGACTTTCCGTCTTTTTGGAATTTCCGGGAGGTGAAGGATATCAAAGCACGGACGCCACGAGCGCTGCCTCTGGCCCCCAACTCTCTGGGATGCCTGACACCAGACAAGTACTGCCCTAAGAAGTAGAGTAATTGCTAACAGGAGTGGCAGCATATGGCTCAAACAAACATTAGCGGACATTCTGGAGCTACTAGTGGATGAGTAGCATGTGCCGAAATGAAGCGAATTACGACAATAGCGACGATGAACTTGCCGGCGCCTGCCCATGTCCCCTCAAGCTCGTCGCGATGGCAGGCAAGGAAATACACACAGTCGTTCCGGTAAACATCCACTATAATTGGGAAATGCTAGAAGACTATTTGATTGAGCAGTTATCCAAAAGCTACGGCCTGGATACCTTTGGATGTGAACTAACTCTTCTGACTGTAGATACTCTTCGCACAGTGTGCGACCCAATTCATGAAGAGCTTTGGGTTAATGACTACTTCCATCTTGTCATGCAAGACTGCCGACGGACTTGTTGCTCTAAGGAGCAAATTCGACGAGATGTGTATGAAGACTTTTTTTCCACGAGTACGGACGCCGTGTGGGCATGGTGCCCAGGTCATCATTGAAGGAAGGGAAATACAATCAGATGGTGGAGAAAAGGACAAAGACAACCCAAAAACAAACCAAACAAAACCAACCGCAGCCCACAGGCCGAGACTCCACCACCAAGTAGTATTTCC